GGGAGAGAGGGAGAGAGGGAGAGAGGGAGAGAGAGAGAGAGAGAGAGAGAGAGAGAGAGAACACAAGCACCCCAACACTATCAGTAGTATTCTGCTATAATTGCAGACAGGAGGCTAGCATAACTGTCCTCTGAGTGGCTTCACTCAGCAGCTGATGGAAACAGATGCAGAGACCCACAGCAAAACAGTAGGCTAAGCTCTGGGAATCTTGTAGTAGTGTGTGTGGTAGGGATTGAAAGAGCCAGAGTGGTCAAGGACACCACAAGAAAATCACCTACAGAATCAACTCACTTGGGCATTTAGGGCCTCACAGAGACTGAACCACCAACCAGAGACCATGCATGGGATGGTCTCCCTACACATATGTAACAGATGTATAGCTTGGTCTTCATGTGGGACCTCTAACAATAGGAGTAGGGGCTATGTCTGACTCTTACCTGCCTTTGAACCTCTTTCCCCTAGCTTGTGAGCCTTGTCTAACCTCAATAGAAGAAGATACAACCAGTCCTACTACTATTATCCTGATTTTTTGAGTTAGTTTTGTATCCTGCTATTTTTCTGAAAGTGCTTTATTGCCTGTAGATGTTTCCTGGTAGCGTATTTAGAGCTTTTTATGCATAAAATCATAAAAAATTTATAGATTCATTACAATCATCATAAAAATTCCAACACAATTTTTTGAAGAAACTGAAAACAAGCAAAAAAGCAAGCAAGCAAACAAACAAACAACAACAAGATAACCTTCAACTTCATCTGGAAATCCAAAATCCAAAGATGGCTAAGGCATCCTGAAAAAAATTAAAGAACTCCTGGAGTATCATCATTCTAGATTTCAAGTTGTGTCTCAGAGCTATCATAATAAAAACAAGGAGACACTGGCATGGAAATGTTGATCAATGCAATAGAATCAGAAGACCCAGAGTACGCCCTCACATCTACAGACAAAGAAACCAAAATTACAACTAGAAAAAAAAAAGATAGCATTCTCAAGAAATGGTGCTGGTCACACTGTGTGGTTTCATGTGGAATTACATCCACACAGATCCACTCCTATCACCCTGCACAATGGGTCAAGGCCAGATAGCCTGAATCTGATAGAATTGGCTGTAAAGGACTCACCTGAACTCATTGGTACAGGACCCCGACAGCACAGACATTAAGGCCAAGAGCTAAAGAAAACGTCATGAAGCTACAGAGCTTCTAGGCAGCAAAGGACAGTGTTATTAGAGCAAAGTGGTAGCCTACAGGATGGGAAAAACTTTACTCGTTATATATCTGACAGAGAGTTGGTTTCTAGAATGTGCAAAGAACAAAACCTAACATCAAGGAAACAAACAACTCATTTAAAACTGAGATACAGAACTAACAGTGAGTTGTCAGAAGATGATGCCCAAACAGCTGAGAGGCACTTTTAAGAATGTTCAAAACCCCTAGCCATGAGGGAAATGCAAATTAAAACTATTCTGAGATTTCATCTTATCTCTATCAGAATGGATAATATTAATAAAGGACAGCAGGTGCTGGTGAGGCTGTGGGGGAGGGGACACATATTCACCACTGGTGGGAGGTCAAATTAGTATGGCCAATATGGAAATCAGTGTAAAGTTTCCTCAAAAGGGAGAAAAATCATCTACTCGTTACCTTTGCTGAAACCTGTTTCCAGGTTCAGTGACAACAGACAGAACGCACACTGTGTCATCAGTGCAGAAAGACAGGGAACAGAAAAACAGAAGTGAGGAGGGGAAGGGCTGAAGAAGCAGGGGGAGGACCACATGCTTAGAGAAGCAATGAATTCTTGAAGTGCAAACCAGTTTGCGAGAGGAAGTTTGAAGCAGAGAACGTAATGGTCTATATGTAAGAATGTGTAATGTAGTCATAATTTTCAGCCACTTACCGGGTCCACTCAAAGTCCTGCGCACTGAAGATGTTCTTAACGAGCAGATCTGTCAGGATGTCTCTGCAGTGCACATAGATGATCACTGTTGCTGCCAGCATGGTTTTTGTGCGTGGGTTGCTAGTATTCAGTGTGACCAGCACTGCAATATCTTCCAGCTGATGCAGTACACGGGCATGGACTGCCTCTAGTTTTTCTCTTGGATTATAACTTATAAAGCCTTTCAAACAGTCATTATAAAACATAATCTGGCTCTGGAAAAGGGAGGGAAATACACATTAATAGAAACATATAATCTTATTTTAATTAGCATTTGTCTCCATGAACTGAATGTTACAGGTGTAGAGGATGACCAGTGTGGGAAGGAAAGCTCACGCACATTTGAAAGCAGAAGACTGCCTTCTGACTCATGCTTATGACTTATATTTTCTAAATCTTAGGCTTTAAAATCTGTTTTATTTTTGATGGCTTCATATATGGACATGATGAGTTATAGTCATTTCACTTCCCAGCACCTGCTCCCTGCCTGTTGAAGCCCTTCTTCCTTGTGTCCCTGTATGTCCCAGTGGATTCAATTAGGGACGTGTGCAGGAGAAATGATGGAGTGCATGACCTAAGTGGGTCATGTATAGCACCCCCTCCAAGGGTTGGGGAATATCAAGGAAGGAGTGTGGATGGTACAAGAACCAGAGGAAGGGGAGGCGTGGTGCAAATAAAATGTCCTCTGAAGGTGACATGGCCCTCCTGCCCATGAACTCACTGAAATACTGCAGCCATGCTTAGCTGTATAAGACCATGCCTCAGACCACACTGCCAAGACCACATCCCATGACTGTGCTCATAAAATCCCATCATGGCAGGAGAAGGGCACTTGAGGGCCCATCTCTCCTTGAGGGAGTCCTCACAGTTAATGATGGTTGCAGGAAAGGGTGTCCCTTTCTTTAGCTGCATAGCCATCCATACATTGTCCATGCTCCAGGAAATAAGTCTTAGATTCTTAGCACACGATTGTTAAATTAAAACCTGAGCACATTCACAATGGTAGAAAAACCCAAAATAAATTAGTGTTGTCTTCTCCATGAGACTCTAGTGTAATATTCCTAGCACAAAATGGTTATATTTGTAGTTAAAAAAATTATATAACTTTTACTATCTGATTCATCTGTCAGATTCATTCTTCCCAGATATGTGAGAGCTATACAGATGGGCTCACTTATAAATCAGGCTGACTGTAGACGTTAAAGGAAGGAAATCATCAGGAAAGCTGCCATGTTTGTAAAGTCAGCCCCTTGTGTAGAGAGTGTCTTCTGGAAGAAGGTCATGCTTGGATAAGGAGTCATCATGAATTTACTTTGACCTATGCTGAATTTTAAGCACTTAAAAACACATAAATGGCGCTGGGCGGTGGTGGCGCACGCCTTTAATCCCAGCACTTGGGAGGCAGAGGCAGGCCGATTTCTGAGTTCGAGGTCAGCCTGGTCTACAGAGTGAGTTCCAGGACAGCCAGGGCTATACAGAGAAACCCTGTCTTGAAAAACCAAAAAACAACAAAAAAACCACATAAATAGGGCTGTACAGTTATATATAAATGGGAACAGCTAGCATACAGGAAACACATATTGTGGTGATATTTTTTCCAGAGAAAGGGTAAGAAGATAGATGGCAGAAACCTGGGGCATTAGTCAACATTCTTTTTCTGCAGGCAGCAGAAATTAACTTTTAAAAATGCATGTCTTTAATTTTGTGAGCCTATAATTACATAATTTCTCCCTCTGTTTCCTCCCTCTAAACCCTCCTATACACTTCTCCTTGTTCTATTTCAAATTCATGGCTTCTTTTTTCATTAATTGTTTTTACTACTTAAATGTGTCTGTGTGTATATATATGAACACATATTAGGAATATATATATATATATATATATATATATATATATATATATATATATCTGTATACATACATACATACCTACATACATACATAGTGGACAGCCAATTGCTGTGCTCTTCCCTGGGGAACACTATTTGGCAACCAACTCTAATAAGATGTGGTAGGCTCATAATCAGCAGATCAATGAGAGACTGAGGCTTGGGAAGCATGCAGGCAAAGTGACTACAATGAGACAATGGAATAGCACTATCTATTATCCATGAAGAGATATTTTCTATATAGATTTATCCATGATATAACAATTAGTAATATATATTAGATATATAGTAAATATAGTAATTCTTCTATCAATAAATGAGCCACCATTCTAAAAGTCAGGAGTTTCACTGCACACAGTGTGAGACAATGGTGCATGAGTTACAGCCTCAAGTGAGAAGATCCATGTTGAGGGAATTCTATGCATCATATTTTTTTTTTTAAAAAGTTCTATTGCTACACTTAGGTTGAAATATGGTCCAGGAATACTGTGCTCCAAGTGCTCATGAGAACACTGCAAGGAAACAGAACAAGAGTCTCGTGACCTCAGTGTCTTCAAAAACATTGAATTGTCATAGGAATGTGCTTTCATGCTCCTCCAAGATGTAGTGGCCAGGAGGAGCTCTGAATGAAGCTGACTCTCATGAGACACCGCAATCCACCTCACTTATCAGCTCCATTTCCCAAGACCCCAGCGACGTTAGAATGGTGGCACATTTATTGATAGAAGAATTACTATATTTACTATATATTTAATATATATTACTAATTGTTATATCATGGATAAATCTATGTAGAAAAATATATGTCTCTTCGTGGACAATATATAGTGCTATTCCATTGTCCCATCCTTTCAAAAATATCTTTTTATTCAGAGACAACTCTATGCGCAGGTCAAGAGACCTGGAAATTCCAGGGAACTATAAATTACACCCTGGGATGGGAAATAGGCAATAGGTAATGGAGGTCAGGGGACCTGGGCAGAAGTGCATTCAGTGACTAAGATCCACTCTAGACGATTCATTGTAAGAACAGAATGCAGTGGCTGCTTCTTGTTAAGCACTCATGGGCCACTAAGCCGGCAAAGAGCTACTCTTAGGTCAGGCTGGACCACTTGAATTTGTCTAACTACAGAAATGTATAGAGCCTCCCCCGCCCGTACTTTTGTCTTCTTCCTTCATAGAATCATTTTATACCAGCTTGTCAGCTTAAGAGCTGGCATTTACTTAGTCACATGGAAAGCAAATTTTCTGTCTACACCCCTACGTGACCTTAATGAGGACTTAAAAATTGGGTGGGTCAGACAACTTAAAACTGGAAACTTATTTTTAACAAGGAGAACTGTAAGTCAAATATGCTTTCTGTAATATGTTATAATGGTTACTTATGGCACAGGCTTGCTACCTAGATATCTCTCTCCAGTTAATCAGTCTCCAATGTTCACACTGACCCCAATGACTGACAAGCAATCCAGTTTCAGACTGTATTAGTGACATTCCTCATTGTTCGGACAAAATACCTGACAAAAAGTAACTTTATAAGGCAGGATTTATCTTGGCTCATGGTTTGTTGTGTCAAGAAAAAGCATAGAGTGGGAAGGGTGGCAGCTCTCAGCTGTGGGATCAGGGGCATGTGGCTGTTTGCTCTCACACAGAGAAATATCAAGGAGCCATCCAGGGCTACAAAACCATAAGGTCTGCCTCCCACTCCCACCCTCTGGTGACCAGCTTCCTCTAGGCAGGCATCCAGCACCTCTAGCTGGGTCCAAGTGCTCAAACACATGGGTGTGGGTACATTTCACATTCAAACCATGACACAGATCTCTAGACACCTTAGAAATTAGGATCACCCCCTTTTCCTATGACCATTCAGATTTTCTAGTAAAAGATCAAAGACACAAAAAGTCATCTTCTCAACTTCTGTGGCTACTCTCATACTTCCTGTTCTGCCTTCCCCTCCAGCCCCCTGCCCCACTCCTGTGCCAGCACTTGCCATGGGCTTGCCTTTCATCTATTCCTTAAATGCTTTTCCTCTTGGGAACCCTGTTTTGTCTTTTGCTGAGGAAGGGTTCAATGATTTCTTAGGTCACCTGACAATTTTGGCTTTTTTTGAATCACACTTTTCGAAATCCCCCCCTTTGTCTTAAAAACATATGTATGTGGATAGCTGTGTGCTTGCATGTGCACACCTGCACCACATGTATGCAGGAGCCATCATGAGAGGCATCTTATGGAACCACAGTTACAGAAGGTTGTGAGCTACTATGTGGGTGCTGGGAACTGAACCTGGGTCCTCTGCAAGGGAGTGAGCGCCCTCAACCACTGAGCCCTCATTGCAGCCTTCCTCTCTTTTAACCTCAAGAAAAGCAACCATACTCACACTAACCAGTATGCAGAACAATGGCTTCCTACAAACTCATTCATGTCCTAACCCAGCACCTGTAAGGACTGCAAGAGGGACAGGGCAGATGGGACGGAGGATTGTGAGATGGAGGGACTATTCTGGGTCATCTGTCACATGAATCTTTACAACTAGAGACTTTTTTCTGTCTCTGAATAGGAGATAGAACTGGAGAAGGAAGGTTGGAGAGACACATGACCAGCTTTTAAGATGAAGGAAGAGCCAACAAGCTGAGGTATGCTGGTAACCTTCTCTCTAGGAACTGGTGGAGGCCAGAATTTATATTTTTTCCCTCCAAGAGCCTACATACAATCCTGGTGACACCTTGATCTCAGCAGGGAGCCTAATACAAGTCTTTAAGATAACAAATTTAATAGTTTTAAGCTGCCAGCCTAGTCTAGAGTAACTTTGAGCAGTAACAATAAAAAATGTGTTATAATGTAATATAGTTGATACTTTTAAGAAAATAATTTATGGGTTACCTTAATTTCATATTATAATCTGAAAATTTTTAAACTCTAAAAAGGTGAAGGAATTCTAAAATGAATATCAGCATATTTCTGTAATAATTTTACTGTATTTATATTATTTGTGTATCTATAAATAAGGGATATATTTAAAAACAACCAGGATGTATCAGTATCCTTCATAATAACTCATTTTTCATATTTTTTTCTTTCTTAGCACTGCAACCACACAATAAATCTCCTCCTCATGACTCAAGGTGACATGAACTCACCACAGTGATGACCACTTGCCCTGGATGTGACATGACCCAGTCAGAAAAAGTATTGTATTTCCAGTCTTCAATACCTTGAATTATAAATCTATAAGCCAAAAATATATTTATATTATACATACAGGCTCAGTGATGCTGCCATTTAATGATGAAGCATTAACACCATTGGTGTCTTAATCTGAACACGTGTTTATAAATAATACTGTTAAGCTGTTCTTTACCTGTTTAAGCTGTTTAAGCTGTTCTTTACCTGTCAGTAAACCCCCACCTGGGTTAGAATACACAGAAGCTCAAGAGGAGACATATTAGCTTGAGTCACAATGTTATCAGGGGTAAGAAGCTGAAAACACTATGTTCACAAATAATTTTTACAAGGGGCATCTTTCTGGCTCACCGATCACCCCAGGACAGAAGCAGAGGCAAGGGAAAGTCAACACATTCATAATTAGGTCATGTAGATGCTAGCAGTCAGCTGTGCTCTAGAAACACTGGGCTGGTTCTCAGAAAGTTAGTAAACATGAAAACTTAAAGTAGCTTTTCCATAGAGAGAGAGAGAGGAAGAAGATGAAGCTGGGAGGGAGGGAGGTGGAGGAGAGCGCCGAGGGGCTGGGAGGGGAAAGAATAGGATCAAAATGTATTGTGTTAACAAAGCTTTTAATAACAAATTAGAGCTGTGACATAGCTGTTCTAGTCAAATTCGCTTTACAAGTTTACACTGGGCTACTTTTTTCCCTGGAAGTAGATGGCAACAACAGACTACTGTACAAAAAGGAGAATCTCGAATACACTAAGTGAGGGCTGTTAGTCTGCCTACTGCTGCCTAATGTGTACAAGGCCCACTCTGTCTCCAGGCCCACTCTCACCTCCAGGTCTAAACTGAGTCAACAATCTGAGTGTGTAAATGTGGCACAGAAAGACAAAGGAGTGAGCCTGAGGTCTTCTGCAAACAGGCTGGAGTTGGCTTGAGTTCAGGTATTGGCTGACATTGGTGCTCATGTGCGCCCACACACATCTGACCAGGGCAACCTTCATGAGTATTTACGCTTCAGAAACTGTCAGTCATCACTCATACGTCACGCGCTATTAAAATCCACTCTGCATGTTTCTCTGAATATTTCACTTATATTGGTAGCTATGCAAGCTACCCATACTTATACGCACAGACACGCACGCACGCACGCACGCACGCACGCACACATTTGTTTTTTGTTTTCAGGATTTAAGCACTGTACTTACTTCTTCAGGACATCAAACATGCTTTTTTCTACATTTACCATCCACTGTTCTACAGCAGCTCTTACACGGATTTTCCTGTAATTTGTTAAAAAGTTATAAAAATTACTATAATATCATAGATATTAACATTTCATTTATTTGAGAAACTTGTAAATTAAGTTCTCAACATACATACATTACTTATGGGGCCAAGACTTTTACCTTCTGGTTTTTTTTTTTTTTTTGATTTTTCACTTGGAAAACCATACAGAAAAATACATAACTTTAGGGAATTCTGTCAAAAATTATTCTACATAAAAATGAATGCATGGGAGATGAATTGTATTATAGGTATTTTTGGATTTTTCATGATTATTTTAAATATCTAAATTGGGCTGGGACTTTGTTGGGTAGGAACGCTTGGGCACAGCGCTGTTTTTCTCAATAATTAAAGCTTGTATCAGGAGCCAGGTACTAGAGGTGAGGCGCCCTTCTGAGGCCGCTAAACCGATCATTGTGACAGAAGGCCTGGGCTTGTTGCATTTGCCTATGAAGCCACCACAGTGAAACCCAGGTCAAACAATGCCAACATCCCCTAGACAGCAAATGTCCACTCTGTCTGAAAAGTCAGATTCATGTGGAACAAAAGCCAGCGTGGATTAGTGCCCAGGGCTGGACGCTTTCTTTTGTTTCAACTTTTCATGAAAGTAGAAGTGAGAGGACAGCCCGGGGTGGTAAGGCAGGGAGTGGGAGAGGCCATGTCCACGTAAGGACAATATCTTTGAAGAAACAGGTTGCTTAGCAAGTTTGTATGGAATGTAGAGATTTCAAAGCAGGGAGGTTGGGACAGAGCCCCTACAGTCTAAGCATGGCTCATACTTGGGCAGCACTAGACCTTCCCCTTCGGCAGAGATGAGCATCTTTACAGAGGGAGGGCCGACGCCCTGCTTCCACAGGAGTACATGTCTTACGTTTTCAAAACATTTCACAAGATGAGGCTACAAAACAGAACACACGCGTTAGTCACACAGTACGTCCTGACAGAGTGCGGAGATAATACGGTGTGCGAGAGGACAACATTGTTACCTGCACGGATTCGGGATTTTTGCTGTTAGCTAGAATATCAAGAAGTTCATCATTGCTGAGGAAATAAAATCTCGGGAAACTCATTCTTTTAAGTTCAAGGTATTCCTGTCCAAAGCCAAAAGAAAGACAGCTAAGAACATACATCTATCCATCTTAGAAATCACATCCTCACCTTTAGTATTAAAGGTGCAGTGTGCACACTAGTTTCAGCCAAAATTATAATCTATGCTCCATAAAAGCCAAAGTACTTCTTAGTGCGGCAAAAGTGAAATAAAGGGAAAGGAACACAGAAGTGAGCGAACAGCAAAGGAACAGCCAGGCTAGAGCTGTGCTGCACCACGTGTGCCACACATGGGTCAGCACCCTGGCAGGGCGCAGGCATCACCGGGATTCCAGCATCGTGGCAGGGCACAGGCATCACTGGGACTCTAGCTCCCTGGCAGTGTGCAGGACATCACTGTGACTCTGGCACCCTGGCAGGGTACAGGTATCGCCCACCAGGACTTAAACTGAAAGGAAATATGGGTATAAGTAAAGGTTTGGTCCTTTGCTTGAGGGTTGATTACTCTACCCATTTTTTTCTCTTGATAGCACTTCCATTAAACCAAAAAAGGGCCATGAGAGTTAGAACAGTTGCCAATTGGGATGGCAGAGAGTAAACTCTACCCTCCTGGATGTTTCTGCAGTTATCAGAGTACTGCTGCCCTTGGGGGCCACAGTTTACCTCAAGACTTTTCTTTATGCTTTCAAGATGGCTGTTGCAACTTTTCAGAATGCCCAGGATTCCTGTGGTGATGGTTATGTGCAGGGCGTTTAGTTTGTTCAGTACTCGTGACATTATTTCTTTCCATGTGAGAAGTACCTGGGAGAAGAGTTTTGTTTCTGCTGCCAGCTGTCTTTAAACATAAAATTAAATGTGAACAAATGTTATAATTAATATCAATAATATTGTTGAGTTTAGAAGACAATTTTGATATGCTTTAGTTGACTTGATTGGATCCCAGTGTACATAGTGAAATCCAAGCTCTATAGATGGTTACCCAATCTTAGATGCTAAGGAAATGAAGGCAAATGCCACCCACCTTACAGAACTTTTCCTTTATGGAATACTTACTATTTTACCCATTGGCTAAAAGAATCAAAACTCATACATGGCACAAACCACTAATACCCGAGTCTACTCCCTCTGCTGTTGAGTTGAATGAGGGAATATTTTCAAGAGTTTTATTGCCTTTTACTCTCTCTGCTCGCTTGGACTTTCCATCCACAGTTAGCCCCAACCTGGTTCAAGTTCTCCATGGCTTGGAGGTGGAGGTGGAGAAGTCAGAGGTAAAGTCTTCCATTCAGCTATGATCCTCTGGAGTCCTCTTTGCCTCGTGGCTGCTGCCCTCTGGAATGGTAGGTATCAGTGGAGACAAGATGTCCCCTCAGCAGGAACTTAATGTACCATTCCCTGGCGCTTTCCAGCTGATCTCATAGAAACAGTTTTCAATCTCCAATTATAAGCGGCAGTCTTCAGGGGGTTTTTGAATTGTTTGCTTTGGTTTGGTTTTGCTGAACGATGTATGGGTTGAAGATCTTTGTAGTTAGCTTCAGTTTGGAAACATCTGTCACCATTGTCTAACTTGGTATTTTTGTCTTCAGAATTCTCTAGGGAAGAGATCTTCATTTTTGCTATCCCCATACTTCAAGGCTGATATGCTAAACTCTCCAGAGAACCTTCCACCATTACCCTGCTCTTTGTTTTGGGTGATGGTGTTAAATGTTTCTGTAATTCAGCAGAAATATCATGGAAGACACTTGAATCCCCATGCCCATGTTGTGTGTTAAGTACCTGTCCCATCTCTGAAGGTTCTTACATAGCCCTCCCAGGATGTGTGACTCTCACCTATTCCTTTGGAACTTCCCTCTTTGATGAATCTCTGCCTCTCTTCCATTGGTATTGGGCCTCGTCCTTCATTTGTTATGGGTTTACTACTGATTCCATTTTTTCTTTTCTTATATATACTGTAAAGACACCTCAATATCTCCTAACAAAAGACCCCTTTCCTAACTTAGCATATTTGGTAAAAGAACAACCATCTGGTCTTTTTATTGATAAAACACATCTTTAGTAGGAAGTAGTTTTAAAGTCTGAATTTAAAGGTTAAAGTTGTGGTAACCTAGGTGTGTGGGCTTACCCTGGGGATGCAGAACAACTGAACAGCACAGCTCAGAATTGTAACTGAGTTAACAGATGAGTACCAAGCATCCTTACAATGAGAACTGTACATATGTAACAAATAAGTCTTGTTCCCTATGAAACAGCACTTCCACTTAAACAGCTCTCACATGTAACTTCTGGTAGTTCACCTTTGTTCCTAAAATAAGGTTCAGAGTGATTGACCTGTGGTCATGGTTTTCTACAACCCAAAGGTGTTACTGCATATGCTGTCCCTGCTCACTTCAGAATGGAGTCTAGGATTTACTATGAGTCCTTGACATTCTGCCTGGATAGCTCATCTGTCTGTCTGAGTACTCTCAAGACTGAGCACTGTAAGAAGCTGCGTGCTGTGAAATGAAGGGAAACAGAACATTTACCCATGCTGAGTCCCTCCATTTTATCTGCTGCAAAGTGAGGTATTCTCATGTATGAATGCCACCACAAACCATGTTTCTTGTTCACATCCAAACCAGACTAGTCTTCCAGAACTAAAGAGACACATAATATTATGGCTTAAGAATTGTTATGCTCTGATGTGTCTCAAGTTTTTTAAAATAGTTTTATGTCAACAATTAAGGGAATTAAATTTTCAAGTGTAAGATGATTCTTGTAGTGATCGATGAATGAGAAAATAATCATGATGGTCTAACAGAGCCATGTGGTGTCCGTGGTGCTCTGGCCACTTTCCTATTGCTGAGACAAAATGTGTGACTAAAAGCAATTAAGGAAGGAAGGGCCTTTACTTTGGCCTACAATTCCTGTGTGTGTGTGTGTGTGTGTGTGTGTGTGTGTGTGTATGTGTGTATGTGTGTATGTGTGTATGTGTGTATGGTGTGTATGTGTGTGTGTGTGTGTGTGTATGTGTGTGTTGATGTGTTATATCCCACAAGGATAAGAAGACACGGCAGCTGGAGCAGGAAACCAGATGCTGGAAACCACAGTCAGGAAGCTGAGAACAAATAGGATGCTCCATGGGTTATGAAACCTCAATTCTGTTTCCTCCTGCAAGCGCCATATCTCCTAAAAGCTCACCAGTCTTCCTACACAACATGAATAGCTTAAGATCAAATATTCAATCATTCACATTCAAACCACAGCTGATGTTCATTCATTGAAGATATCATTTCTGGAAGATTATAGGAGTTAAATTCCCCATGTATTTTTTAACCCATATGTACATGGTATATTTTTCTTACTTTTGTATTTCTAAAGACTGAAAGACTGGTTCAAGAGAAAGCCAGTTTCTTTGACAGGTCATCCATTCATCAATGGTCTGAGAGAAGAGGGTTAGGTTTTGATTCCATTCATTCACAAGATGCTACAAAAGAGGGAAAATCCACATATAACAATTAAAACACATGAAATTACTCTGTAACAACCATATAATGGAAATTGAGGTGAGGCAATCAGTAATCATTGACACAAAAGTCCTGATAAGGAATCACATAAATGAGGGCAAAGCTGGCTTTGCTCAGTTTCAAATGCCCAGTTCATCCAGTTTTCTCCTAGGTCATGTGATAGGCAAGTCTTTTCATAGGACTTGCACATATACATAAAATTAACGTATGTAACATGCACAGATTATAAAATTAACATGAACAATTTCTGTCATGTAATGACAACCAGGTGTTTGGTAGACACACTATTCCAATCTCTACATTAAGTCTGTCTGTACATGTGTATGTATGCACATAATATCTCTGAGTCTGCCTACCTCTGCTTCAGAAGACTGAGATTAAAGGTGTGGACCACCATCCTGCCTAGTAGGCTTTATTTAGAAAACTCCGTAGTCTAGATCTTTTTTTCTAACTATTACATTTTTTAAAAATAGTGAGAAACTGGTTAAAAATTGATAATAAAATACATTGCTTATTTACAAACCAGTAGATTAGCTCATCCCCACTGATCCCTCAGAAAGACTTGCTTTAAACTCATTTGTATTTGTCTTTTGGCATTTACTAGTGTTCTTTATTCTGTACTTGCTTCCATATTGTATTAAGGTATAACTGATAAAATATAACATAAATTACACTGATTGATTGATTGACTATTTTTAAAGACAGGGTCTTATTGTGTAGCCCTTGGTGACCTGGAATAAGCTTTGTATGACTGGCTTTGAACTCACAGAGATCCAACTGCTTCTCTTTCCCCAAGTGCCAGAATTAAAGGCCTAATTTACAACTTCCAATTAATTTTTATTTTAATAAAGGCATTTAGTGCACCATGCATTCTCACAAGGCTTTATTTAACTGCAACCTGGTCAGATGTATAACTTTGTTCTTGCTGACAATTTCTAAAGTAAAAAAATTTTAATTATATTTTTTGTATCTCATTTTAGGTGAATCTTGTTTTTTTCTGTTGACTATGATTTTTATTTGATGTTGTTTGACAATATAATCCATTCTCTTCTTGTAATACATTGTTTTCTCTTTAAGGCCCATCTAAATGACACTTTTCCTTAAATGTTTACTTACATACAAATGATATGAATTCCACTTGTTGAGTACATACCTTTCTATGACTCTCTCTAGTCTATTCATATAGTGGTACATATCTGAATACCAATTATATTAATTTTGTTATTGAATAGTCTATCAGTACATACCTGATTAAGTTTATTAAGTTTAAAAATTAATTTTATGTAAGTTATTAGATGCAGGGCAACCAGCTATGAGTTACAAGAAACTGGTAAAAGGTGTATTTTGTGGGAGTATTTTTTAAATCTCATCTAAAGTTATCTTGCCCATCCAAATTAAAATTTGATATTTCCTGATAAAAAGTAAGTACTTCTATAAAGTTATTTTTAGTGTTCACACTATTAAATATTCTATTTTCTCTGTAAATATGTGAAAGATCTAAATATTTGAGAATCAAATATGAGTTTTCAGAAAGCAAAGTTGAACTGACAGACTGAGGAAAATGAAAACATTCCCAGAGCTTTGCCCACAGCTGTTACCTTAATTGGCCTGAGATAGGAAGATCCTTTGATTGTGGAAAGGATGGCCTGGGAGTCTTCCAGCTGGGCTATCACGTCGTCGGTGGACGAAATGATCAGGATGGAGCGGCCCTCGGTGAGGTGAGGGACCAGGTGCAGGGGGGACGTGTTCCAGAGCTCGATGATCTTAAACAGCATTTTTTCAAGGGCGGCTTCGTTAGTTGCTGAGACTGATATCTCATTTATTTTTTTTTCATATGGAAACATCTGAAATGAAGAAATTACTATCCAAAGGAACAAATAATTCCCAAAGCATCTATAATAGAACACTTAAACTTGTTTCTTGAAAGGTGTAAGGAAGTGCAGATCTGACGCTGGCGAGGTTAACTCCAGTGTCTGTGTGGTGACAGAGCTTTGTTGAGCCACTCCAACCACTTCACGTGCTTCATGCTCACCTCGAGTGTCCTTTTCCTCGTGTCCCAGATGGGGTGAAGAGTTTGTGTGCACCTCATGTATGTGCAGACAATGCCTTTTCCTTCAAGGTCTTTTCCTCTGCACCAATCCCTATGTCTTTGCTACTTTGAAGTGAGCTTTTTCTTTCTATAATGTATCTTCTAGCATTAGAGTATTGACCCAAGAGAGCAACCTGAAGGACTCTGATTTCTATAGCTTCTTTTGATTTGCTAGATCGCCCTAGGATTAAGGGTATTTTGTTTTGCTTTTTTTTTATGCATTAGTGAAATAGACAGGCCTTCCTCCCGTATATAGTGACTTCAAGTTCCCTTAAGCTCCTGACAGAAAATTATTAGATTCACTCACCAGACTAGAAGGTACTCAGATAACTTCTCAGTCTCTACCTTTAGAATGAACTGTCTAGGATTGCTGTTCTTGTGTGTTGTTAGAAAGCTGAATCTACACTACTCCTGTACATAATCTCTCCAGGGCTAAGAATGAGGTTTAATCTCTATGTTTTGCTAATGGATCACAGTGAGGGCTATGAACCAGAAAATGACTAATGTTCACCGTCTATTATGAGTTACCAAAGATGGCACTCAGGACTGGAACTGACCAGGAGTACTTAAGGATTTAGCCAACAGCACTAAGACTAAGCTTGCTTTTGAACATCTATTATTCAGCTAACATAGACTAAAAACCCACAGAACTATCTAAAAGTTTTATGCTAAAGATAAACATTTTTGCTCAATATACTCAAGATGGTTAAAAATAAAATCCAGACACAGGCATGTGTAAGACAAAACTTGAGCCATGTGAATCTAGTCCTGACAAGTCTTTATGACCAAAGCTTAGTGGACAAAGTGGGTCTTCAATGACACTGTGACAGCTTTAAAGCATGACAGTGCCTTTAATGACTTATCTCTTGGTACCATGGAGCACAAAGTCTCAAAAGTGCAAATGATCAGTTATGGCAGGACAGTTCCTTTTCTCTTCTAAGTTACTTTATGGCATGCTTTTCACATGAGAGTTTCCCAAGAGCCTGTACTTCTTAGACAGAACCTTACCATATAACTGCATAACACTATAAATAACCTCAAACAGATGGATGCATTCATTAGGGTTAAGACGTCCCACAAAATCTTTCGGCATGACTCTCATCTCCTAGTCAAGACCAAGAAATGTAGGTTTTTGAAAACTTACATAGGCTGATCACTCCTCCCTTACTAGAACCTGTCCACAAGGTAGTCCTCTCCCTAGCTCTGCTGTTATAACTTAGAGAGAAGTGGGCTGCTCTGGCCCTGGGCTGTGGTCCACTGCATCGTCTGCAAACCTTACTCACTTCTCTTCGTGTTCAGTAATTTGGACCCTCTAAAATCTGTACCAGACTTTCTTATTAAACTACTCATCATAGTACTAAGTCGAGGATGGCTCAGAGGTATTATATTGGGTACCGCAGGGCACTGTTTCATGCCGGCCACCAGGTGACCGCCTGAAATGCCTTAACCTGACCTGTTCATGAGTAGTTCCACTTGTCCAAGACACCACAATTAAAATACCTGAGGTGTCCTAGATTTTCAGCAAGCTAGTTCAAATGAGCTCAGCTGTTAGCACTGACCCTTGTCTCAGTGAGGTGCTCTGTGGGGCAGAGGTCACTTGGGTGGCACTGGAGCAAGCCAGGAAATAGTGAGAGAGCTGAGTAGTGTGCAGACTAGGTGACCAGGAGAACACAAATGTTACTTCACATAAGGAGATGAAGGACAGAGCTGCCGTTGCTGAGCCAAGGGAGGGCAGGAGAAGACAAGACTTTCGGAGGTGGGTAATAAAAGGCAGTCTGATTTTCTGAACAGAGCTTGAGTACATGAATGGAAACATGAACAGAAATATGACCGTCTGGAGCTCTGGAGGGGGACTGAGGTAATATGACTGTCTGGAGTTCTGGAGGGGGACTGAGGTAATATGACCGTCTGGCGTTCTGGAGGGGGACTGAGGTAATATGACCGTCTGGAGTTCTGGAGGGGGACTCAGGTTAGGTCTAGAGACTTTAAACACTCTCGCTTTAAAAACTCTCTCTTCTAAAATTCCTTCAAAGTATTTCCCATATTCCCCCTTACAACAGAATTATGGTCATAATATGCTGGCTTTGATTACCAAAAAATTAAACATAAATGGAAGTTCTTATAGGCTAGCAAGGAAAATAGAGCCTTTTCAAACAATGAAAACTGAAACTTCTTGTTGTATAGCTTCTCATTTGCTTTGTTATCTTTTTGAGACAGAATTTCATATAGACTAGGCTGGCCTCAAATAGGCTATGTAGTCAAGGATGACCTCAAACTTCTGATCCTACCCCCCCCCACCTCCAGAGTGCTGAGATTCCAGGCATGTGCCATGTGCCAGGTTGGTTTGCGTAGTCCTAGGAAGAGAACACAGGGGTCCAGTGCTAGACCGGCTCTCTACAAACTAAGCCACATCACAGCTCTACATAACAGAGTTTTGTGGGGAATCAAACTGTGACTAATTTGGCATTTCAAACAAAATATCATTATTGGTAAGGCCATCCTAATATGTTCATAATACATTTTCACTGTATATAGAATGAACTAGAGGCATTTGCTATTTCTATTCCTATAAAATGTAATTTCTACAAGAACTAGCATGTTAAAGAATGATGTTTGTCACATAAAAAAGTGTTATTGTTCTCTACCTACTTCAGTAATGAAGGTAAAATGAAAGCCTGCCCCCTCTCCCACTACAGGTGACATCCTGTCACTGATTCCCCACTGGCCCAGGCACACCACTAACCTCCCTGCTTTGTACTTTATGTTCATGGTAGCTCTCCTTGTCTACAATTAAAACCAACCCTTCATGATTCTGTGTTCTTGTCAACTATTTATATTTACCTTGAGAGCTAGAAGTTTCTCTATGGAGAGGTTTTTATCCAGAGAGATTGACTTTCCAGTGATGTCACGCAGAGCCTTCCAGTGCCGTGCCTTGAGACAGGGGTTTCCTAAGGCCGTGATGATAGGCAGCTCTCGTTTGAAGTCGGACACTGACTGCTTCAGCAGTGCTACCATATCATTCTTAGGTAAGCCTGAAAATGCCAGAAAATGTGTCAGCTTATAATATGTTCACATTTTTTAACCAAACAATCTGAGAAAGCGAGACTGTTTTGCCTTTTGTGGATAGGAAGCTTGGAGAAGCACACACTACCTTTTTCCAGTACAATGATTATATGCAGCCACTTGGAGACATTGTTCTTCACTAAGTCGATATCAATGCTTTGGAGAGTACAGTTCCTCCACTGCCAGAAATGTGTCCCCCACTCTTCTTGAGCTTCCCATAATAATTTCCTCAGCATCAGGTCACACTCAATGTCAGAGATCTCCGACAACACGATCTGCGTGATCTCCTCCACGTTAAGAGCGTTCATGTGGAAGTGGGCTTCATCGTAGTAGTCCTGGTAGCTGGAGTATGTTTTCACCTTTAAAGTCAAGCCTTCAGCCTCTGCTGAGAGAGACTGCACGATTTCCTTGGCTTTTGGTATTGGAGTAGAGGCGGAAAGCAGGATAGGACTTCTGATCTAAAACCAACAGGGAAGAGGCCAGATTGTTCAGAACACAAACATGTCTTAATGGCAACATCTTTAGTAAATAACCCCCGTTTTCATGTGACAAAGTGAATGAAAAGTGAATATTACCATTTGACTCAAACACCTAGAACTATTTTAGGAAAAGTGTGTGAGTGCATGCATGCATGTGTGCATCATCCCTTTTATGGAGTTGTTGAAGAATTTTGCTGCCTTGTTTATCACATTCAGAGATGAAGAAAATGCTAACTTCTTGGTAGAATTACTAAAAAAGGACATATGTGATCTTATGTCCCATTCAACTTCACAAATCATCAAAATTCTATTTGTGAATCTCATGGTATCTTAGCTACTTTTCTGATGCTGTGATAAAATGCTGTGACCAAGGCAGCTTATAGAAGGAAGAGTTTATTCTGGTTTACAGTTACAGGGTGATAAAAACTCACTATAGCCAGAGCAGAAAGCTGAGCGCTCACTCCCTCAAGCTCAGACAGGCGGCAGAGAGGGTAAAGCCCCCACCTGGTAATGTAATGTACCTCCTCCAGTAAGGCCATGCCTTACTAACCAAACAGTGCCACCAACTGGGGACCAAGCATTCAAAAGGAGGACATTTCTCATTCAAAGCACCACACAGGGTAAGTATATTTGGATTGCATTATTTAGTTATGATTCCATAAAAAATGAATATATAAAACCATAGTATTACATGAGACTAAGATAAAAAATTTTAAAATATAAAAATAAGACTATAAAAATAGTAACAAATTTAAAAAGCACTTACTTTATCTTTTAAGTTACTGACATCCACTCGTAGGCTGACAATATACGATTCCAGACTGTTCCTGAATTTAGTGAGGCTGGCTTCTTTATTCGTGGCAAGTAACTTCATAGATGTTTTCAGATGATTGAACTTCATGAAGATAATTCTGTAGATGGCGATCTGCTCTTCCGACACATCTATCTGGTAATGTCTCACAACGGAATATAGCTCAGAAATTGTGCAGAAATCTTTTTCTATTTGAATTACGCTTGAGGAAATTTCATCCAAAAAATTAAAATGCTCCACAAATTCTTCCACGTCTGCAGGCTCATAGTCCAGCTGGCGCAGTGATGATTCTAAAATCTGAAAGGATTAGCACACTGATGACAAGTGTTCAATGACGTCACTGTTTTAGGAAACCACGTTACTGTTTCAGAGTTCTGACTTCTACAAGTGTAATCTCATACACTTGCATGTGTGATGCCATACAGACTGGTCCTAATCTTATGCATTTGTTAAATGCTAGAGGACTCCATGGTCCAGTCCTTCCACCATGATCTGAAAGTGCTTTAGAGTTCATATGTAACATACATGCTATTAGACATGCACAATACTTTATGAAACCCATGTGATGAGACCCGCGAGAGTGAGGCTGGAATGGGCGTTCTGACTGTTTATATGCTACATTCTCCAGGCCACAGTCTCTTTTTATCGTGTTTGATAATTAGGTGTTATTTTCTCTACTTTGCAGACAAGGAACCGAGCCTCAAATTAGTCTAAGATCAGGTGTGTGGTAAGTTACAGAAGTACGATTCAATGACTATTAGAGAAACCTCTTCTTGCAATAGATGGCAATTAACACTGAGATCCCTAAGGGGTCACGGTGAAAAGAATGGGGACCTGTGGAACACTGATCCCTAAGTGGGACACCCATCACAGTCCTTTCCTTCAAAGCTTGGAATTTTAGAGAAGAGGGGGCAGGGTTGGTGGGTGACTTCAGAGGAATTGTGCTTTCTGGGCACAACAGGGCAGGTACACTTCCATCACACAGGGGTTGTAACAGAATGGACAGACTTGTCATTCAGAATGCACTGTGTCAGGCCAAGCCTGAGGATACCCCCGCATGGAGAGGGGAGGTGGGCAGGCAGGAAGTCCCACCCCTAGCTAGGGAGCTACTAGCATTTGATAGCTTCTGGAAGAGGGAGAGTCTGTTTTCTTTAATTGTTTCACCCAGGGCAGCTCAACTACACTCTAGAGTAGGCTCTACCCCCAAGACTAGCTGGGCAGAGTGGGCTAGACTTGATGGGTTTAAGAAAGAGAGGAGAGACAGGAGAGAGGAGAGAGAGGAGAGAGAGGAGAGAGAGGAGAGAGAGAGAGGAGAGAGAGGAGAGAGGAGAGAGAAGGGAGAGGAGGGAGAGGAGAGAGAGGAGAGAGAGGAGAGAGAGGAGGGAGAGGAGAGAGAGGAGGGAGAGGAGGGAGAGGAGAGAGGAGAGAGAGGAGAGAGAGGAGAGAGAGAGAGGAGAGAGGAAGAGAGAGAGAGGAGAGAGAGGAGAGGGAGAGAGAGGAGAGAGAGGGAGAGGGGGAGAGAGAGAGAGGAGAGAGAGAGAGAGGGAGAGAGAGGAGAGAGGAGAGGAAGAGGGAGAGAGAGAGGAGAGAGAGAGGGAGGGGAAGGAGGAGGGGGAAGGGGGAGAGAGAGAGAGGGAGAGAGAAGAGGAAAAGAGAGAGGAGAGAGAGGAGAGAGAGGAGAGGAAGAAGGAGAGGGAGAGGGAGGAGAGAGGGGGAGGGGAGGAGAGAGAGAGAGAGAGAGAGAGAGAGAGAGAGAGAGAGAGAGAGAGAGAGAGAGAGAGATTGAGAAGACAGAGAACATCAATTTGTGGAGTAGAGATGTGGGGGATAACTGGATATCTGGGAAGAATTGGGGAAGGAGGTGAAAAGTATCAAATACATTGTATGAAATTCTCAAGGAATTGATAAAAATACTATTTTTGAGGAATGAATGAATATAACTTAAAACAAGAGATGGTGTGAGTAAACTCAGTAGAAAGATAACTCCATTGAGACATTGTATTGCCGGCTTCCTACACCCATAATAGGCATGTTGCCTTCTTCTGCCCTGCTGCCTAACAGGATGTGACATCAGAGATGCTTAGGGAAGCACACAGTGAGTGCAAAGCAGCCAGTGTTCCCGGTGACTGCTGCCTGTGCTCTGGACTACTCACTGCCCGACCCTTTCTGCCCTTGGGGGTTGGAGGTGAGGTGGCGCAGAGTCAATGACACAGACTCTGGGAGCAGATGAGAAACACCACAGCAAGCTCATCTGAATGCTGCTGCAAGCTCCTTTAATACCCTCCACCCATGCCTCATTGGTCTCAAGAAAGCATCTCTTCTAAACAGCAGTTCCTGATTGGCTGGTATTTTCTGCACAAGCAATCCTTGGTCTCTCAGGCAGTTCTCAATTAGGGTCTCCTGTAGGACATGTTTTTTTGCAGCTGCACAGCCCCTGGCTTACATAGAGATGCTCCACCATTCCTCCTACAAGTGACTATGTGGGCACTACTACTGCCCATCAGAGAAATTAGTTCTAACTTGTGTAAGCGACAGTCCTTTTGCTGCTGTTGTTGCTGCCGGTAGGAGTCATACGTAACTGCTACATTAACACTCGCCTGCAATTTCCTGCCTGTACTCAGTGCCTCCCCGACACTGGCATGTCTCCTTTCTTGAAAGTTATTTCTGGTCCACCCAAGCTCTGTTCACTACTTCTGATAAGGTTTTATGCTACATGAGAGTTGGTATGTGCAAGAATGATGCTATCCTCTCAGTTATACAGCAGAGGCACAGTCGACGGCTAGCTTGTAACTTTGGGTTTAAGAAGTATTGGTAGTCTGGCCAAATAAAGAAAAAAAAAAGATAGCTGTTATTATAAACTCCCATCTTGAAGCTCTTCTCGGGCACTGCGGGAGGATGCAGGTACAGGCAACGGCTAGTACACTAGGATCCATATTTGTCTTAGAAAGCAGACAGTCCATGGCATAGAGAGAAGACTCGTTCTCACTGGGGGGATGGAGAACAATGACGTCAGACAGTGACGTGCCTTATAAAGACAGAACAAGAGATGGGCAGTGACCCGAGCGCCATCTCCCACGTGGTCACAGGAAGTTCTAAAGAAAGTGATGTTCAGTAAAAACATGTGTAAGTGCTGAGGAGGGGTCCAGTGGGGTAAAGTGCTTGCCATGCATGTGTGAGGACCAAAGTTTGGATCTCCATAAACTACACAAAACCCAGACACAGGAGCATGCATGTCTGTAATCCCAGGGATTCTAGGGCCAGATCAAGTAGAGCAGAAGAATTCCCAGAAGTCCAAGGGCCTCTAGCCTGGTTTATATGATACAAACAAGAAACACTATGTCAAACAACTCCTGAAGTTGTCTTTTGACCTCCACATATGTGGCACAGGACACATACATGCCATAGCACACGTATGTGTCACATTCACATACAGGAATGCACATATACACAAAGATTTAAAATGAAAGTAAATATAATCACAGTACTCTGGGATTTTCTGAGGATAATACTTATGTGTATTTTTGATTGTGCATCTTTAAGTTATAATCTAATCTGACATTCTCTTATGAAAAAGTGTAGCTGCTTGTATTGTGAATGCTGTTTTTGTTTTGTTTTTTGTTTTTCAAGACAGGGTTTCTCTGTATAGCCTTGGCTGTCCTGGAACTCACTCTGTAGACCAGGTTGGCCTCGAACTTAGAAATCCACCTGCCTCTGCCTCTGCCTCCCAGTATTGTGTATGCTAATTATGTTCCCCCCAGAAAGTGTCTGCACTAGAGGGTCTGAATGTAGCTTCTAGGACCCTGCTCCCAGTTGGTTCTGATTGGTAAATAAAGAAGGCAGCAGCCAATAGCTGGGGAGGAGAGACAGAGGAGGAATTTTAGGATTTCCTGGGCTTGAGATGGGAGGAGAGGAAGGGGAGTTAGGAGAGTGTGGAGAGAAGAGAGACATAGTCCACCATTGGGTAGAGAATCAAGGAGAGTGCCCAGGGCTCCGGGTCAAGAAAACATGGCCCAGAGGGCTGACTGATTGGAGTGAAGAGCAGCCAAGATGGAACATAGGAATTAATAAGTAGTAGTAACTAGGAATTATCGGCAGAGGTAGATTCTAGCAGCATGGAGTAGTGGTTTTCATTTGGGAACATAAACCATTGAGGTGGGAAGCAACCCCATGCTGGAATTAATTAATAATTAATTGAACAAAAAAGGAAAAATGTAAAGACTTACTTCTAATAGATTTGCACTTCTGTCCTCAATGGTACATCGCAACAGGTTGTAGCTCATTTGTATGATGCTATCAACATACGGTAAGCATGTTAATTGATAATCCAGACTTTTCACACAAAAAATTCCAAGACGCATCTCAATAGCCATGGTCACGATCTGCTTTAGGTAGCTTCTGAATTTATGTATTATACTTTTAAACTCCACTGATGTTAAGTTCATCAAGAATGGCAATTTTGTAGTCATGACTTTGGCCTTTTCTACCATGTAACAATATTTCAGAAACCTGCAGCTGTAGTCGCTAACCAGGCCCACTGAATTACCAATAATAGTCAGCAGATTCACAATCTGAGAATGGAAACATCATTATGGTTAGCATGTTCCATCTGGAAACAAGAGCCTTACTCCAAACTTATATCAGAGGAGTGGGACTGCGTTGTTGGACAGGCTGATGGCTTCCGTTAAACGACAGTCTTTGTACAGTCCATTCTGTTTAGAACTGGAATTAAATATTGCCATATGTTGGAAATAAGACTAAGAAACATAGTTAACTAACATGACTTTCATGCAAAGTTTACACAGATGTTTAATTTGTAATCAAGGTATTATTTTGAACTATGTCTTAAAGAGACCAACCATCTAGTTCGCTGCCTGTCACCCAACTTTAAAAGCACATGCTCCTCACACAGTCTCAGAGCAGGCCAGTCCTGTGTATTTCTGATTTCACTTAATTCTTAAGACATAGTTTATCTGGTTATGACAGAATTCAGACACAAGCTGAGATAATTATATTCTACTGTGAATTTGGACAAAATATGCATTTAAGTGATTAGGGAAGGGCCGGCAAATGGCAAACCAATGTATTGGCAAAACAATGTCATGAAAGAACCACAGGTTCTTTCTACAGTGGAAATTTGAGAAACTGTGGTAAATGGAGACCAGGGACCCTGGGGAGACAGACTGGGATGATTCTCCCACTGCCATGGACTAGGATGCTCTGAAGCTTTCCATAAGCCACATTCATGCAATAATTTCACTGGGGCTCTGCTTCCTTACCAACCACCTCCAAGATGCTCTATCTCAAAACTTACTTTGTTCTGGTAGTCAGTATCTGTGTCAAAGAGGATACAGAAATCTGGCCATCGGGTATGCTTCTTGTATTTGACTACATTTTTTGTCTCAGTAGATAAATCCGGAACTGAAACCAAGTCAACAAGGGTGGACAGGCGAGGGTCTTGGTGAAGAGGGATGATCGTGGCTGGAACACAACATTGAACAGTTAGGATTTCCAGATGCCTCTCAGAAGCAATACTTTAAAATCAGCCGTAGCATCTAGGCCTGTTAAAAGTTTTTGCTGAGTGACTTAATGAGCAGACACTATTCTGTATTGATAGGGGTACTTATAAGCATGTACAAAGGTTTGCATTTAACATTATAAACAGAAGGAACCATCACAGATTATAGTTGTGGGAGGAGCCATGCTGAAAATAAAACCAGAGAATCTAGTTCTTTGTGTGGAGAGTGTTGTTCTGTCTTGAGCACAGATACATGACAAATACAAGACTCCTACTGGGAAGGAGTTGACAGATCAGAAGTCTGTTGTCTAGTCTCTTCACTCCCAACCAAGAAAAGAAACTTTGACATACACTTTATGGCTTACACAAACAAACTCAAGATGAAGATAAACACAGAATACAAACAGATGAACTTCTAGGAGAAAATAGTGTGACCCTTAGTTGAGAAAGTCCTAGATACAAAGCCTAAAGCATAAGGCATGATAGAAGTCAATTGATGTGCTGGGGTTTATAAATCTGAGTGGCTTAGCACTGTTGAGGAGACTGAGAAGCTAAGGCTAAGGAGGAGAATGTTTGCAAGACATACCACTGATAACAGATTTGACTACAACACTCGAAAGGCCTCTCTTTAGCAGTGGGTAGACTCTCATCAAAGTGCTTTAACCATCTGGTAAGGAAGTATGAACCATCTATCAATTCTTAGTGACACAGAAATTTCCAAAATGTGCCACCTCATTGCAATGGGTAAAGGAACTTTTAAAAGTTGACAATACAGCATTTTCCACAAACATTGGGAAAATCCAGAAAGCTTCACATACTGCAGATGAGAATCTCTTAAGGTCACAAAAGGCGAGAAAAGGAGCTGTCACAGATGGGAAGACTCGAGAATCCAGTGAACTGAATGTGATGTGTGAGTCTGGACTCCAGATCATGGAACAGGAAGCAGACAGGAGAGAAGAGCTCCTAGAGTCTAAATCAGATCTGTTGATTCACTGGCTCCAGGATACTGTTGGGTGTGTGGTTTTGACAACCACAGCATGGATAGCATGGGACAAGCATGCACAAGTGACCTACTGTACTTGTGATGTTCGTAGAAGCCTTGAGTTATTTATAATGAAAATTTCAAAACAATCACATGACAAAACCATTTTATACTGAGGGAAAAAAAAAGACATGGGAGCAATCAGATGTTTTTAACCCGAGAAACTTAAATCTAAAAATAAAAGAAGGAAAATCTAAGTGGCAGAAAGAATCTATATGGAAACAGTGCCAGAGGACCCTACTCCTCATAATTAATATCTCTACCCTAAATTTAAGAAACATTAGTAGAGAGTGATGCACACCTATTATTTCTATAGAGAAGCAGTTAATTCCAGGTGAGAAATCCCTGGGCGGAAACAAGTGCACCATGCTAAAGCAGGCCTACAGCAAATGAACTTAGCAAACTGTCACATGACAACTGAGCTACTAAAGGTCCTACTAGCTTACATTTTTTTTCTAAAACCTATTGTAAGGGATGAATAAGTTCTTTGGCAAAGGTAGCCACTGTCATATAATCTTAGATTATACTCATATAGCTGAAAACAATCATTTAAAATGTATTCAAGGCAGAAACAAGGTTTTTGTAATGCTATGACATAAAATTCAAATAACTCAAGCCTTGAGTTGCTTCTTGATGCTGATGTGCGAAGGCTAATTTTGGATGCTGACTTAACTACATCTGTAACATATGAAAAGACAAGTGGCTAGACAATCCTGCGAGGGATTGGCTTGATTACATCATTTGAGCTGGGAAGACGCACCCTAAATTTGGTCCACATCTCTTGGTGCCAGTCCACATCAAAGGACATGGAAGAAGGAAGCTTTTACTTTTTTGCTGGTTTGCCCTCATTTTGCCTAGCAAGTTCATCTATCCTGTTGCTGAGATATTCCTTCAGTGGTATTAGAACCTATTTCTGTGGGATTCCAACACAGACTGAAGACCAGAAACTCTCTAGGACTTTCCTGGGACTCTAGTGACCTACTGAGACTGCTAAGACATTTAGTCTCTTGGACCGAATAACTACTGGATTCTAGGCCTTTCTACTCTAACATGGCCAATATTGGACTAGTCAAACAACAGGCTGTAAGACACTTGGATAAATCCCTGTGTGAGTGAGTGTGTGTATTTATACATACCCATATATATGGATATATGAATCCTCCTATATATATGTATACATACATATATATAGGTGGATTTATTCTGCAACTTATTCTATCAGCTCTATTCCTTGAGAAAAAGCTAACACCACACACACACACACACACACACACACAGACACACTCATCATCATCATCATCTTCAAATAATTCTAAAAAACCATTGCTTTATCAAACACTAAGAATGGTGATCTCTTGTTTATATCTGCCATATATATGACTGACTAAGAGCACCAAATAACATTGATGTAAGAAAGATCTCCAAAGAAGGCACCAAGCCTTCCTGATACTTACTTACATACTTTTCTATAGCTGCTATCATATTTTGGAATTGTGTTGAAAAGTCCAGTCTGTTGGGTTCCATAAGGAGGTTTGTTGGGAATTCAGAAAATCTGTGGGAAAACAGTATGTGAGAGTACATTCAAGGGCTCGCAGTACTCAACAGAACACAGATGCTTGTAAAATGGTCCATACGTACTTATTGTAGAAGCGTTCTTGATCAGACTCAAGCAGGAGTCCCGAGTCTATTCAAATTCATTGAAACAAAGACAAGGTAAAAATTTATTAACAGTTTAAAATGCTAGACAACAACTTAATATCAGTATTCTCTAAATACTCTGAGAATCAGTTGTAGAGCCGGGCTGAAAGGGATACTCCAGCAGTGCATCCCAGACTCTGATATTGAGAACAGAGATCTGGGGTAGAGTCCCAGACTGTGTTCTTTTCCTTTTCTGTGGGCCTCACATATGCTAGGCAATTATTCTACCACTGAGTGGCACTCCTGTGCTTTTAGCAGCTGCTCTTGGTGCCACTTATCCTGAAAAGGAAGGCCCAGAAATCCAGAGTGACATTGTAGGTGGTTCAATGGCATGGACCCTAAGGTGGTCCGTGGTCTGTCACTGCTCCCTTTAGCATGCGTGCTGACATGGCATAACTAAAATGGCATAAACTTAAATTTCTCTCTTTACTGCCAGCTGCCACCTGCTGCCTTTTGCCTCACCAGAAAGGATTCGCTTGAGGAGGATGCCAAACTTGCTCGGCTGGTTGTACTGGCTGAGCAGGTCTTCACTCACAGTTCTTATTCGGTGCTCTAGTTCATCGTCATCATACACCAGAGACTCTTCCCGGCCCTGCTCAGCCTTCTGGGTCTTCCCGTCAAGGTCCTCTGGAGAGTCATTCATAGCAGGGATCCTCAGATAGAGGTTGACCTCAAATATTGGTGCATATGTTTTCTTCAAATCCGTCATCACATTATGTCTGTTAAAAGTCTAATATAGCAAATGTGTCCACAAGACAAGAACAAAATGTAATACAATGATTAACTGGTGGTAATAAAGTTTAGATAGTATTATAAACTATAATCATATTCACATGTCAAAAAGTAAGTAAACAAAATGTGACATTAATATTAGCGGGCGATCTGGAGGGCATCATTGCAGCTTTTTACAATGGGAGAAGGTGGCACATGTATGTACATGTGTGTGTGTGTGCACACATGTGTGTGGGTGTACATGTGT